AGGACCAATTACTGGTGCAGTCGTCCTCCTCCCGTACTTCAGATTTTCCTAACGTTCCTCGGGAGTTGTATGAGGAGTGGATTTATGTCGAGGCCCAGTTAGATATCTTTCGAGATTTGCATGCGGCGGGATTCGTTTCTGAGGCTGCCCTCGAAGATGCTCGTGTTAAGGCTCGTGAAGCTCGAGTCACTTGTGGGTATGATCCCGCTACGTCTGAGGCCGGTGAGGACGATGGGGATGAGGGTGTAGACCGGATCGAAGAGAATGCTTGGTATGAAGCTGTATATCCTGAGGGCGAATGTGGTGATGGCGAGGGTATTAATGGTCAGAGTGGCGACGTTGTTGAGGGCCAAGTCAGCGAGGATGTTGAAAACTGTGATGGTGGTGGCCAGCAGTTTTTTCTTTTGTTTTTTTGTATATTTTTGTCGGCGTTTTCACGAGCCTATTGTAAACAATTTTAAGTATGTGAAATATCAAAGTCATTCCTTGCATCTTCTTCTCTTCATGTGGTTTATTTTCTGTACTTCTGTATATTTTTGTTTCTTTGTTGGGATATGGCCGATGGTCGATTGGTGTTTGTTCAAGCTAGGTCGAACATAACCTTTCGTTGGACCGTGGCCGAGGACCCGTAGTTGTTTGGTCTTGCGAGGTTGAACATAACCTTTCATTCGATCACGGTCGAGGGCCGATGGGTGTTTTCTTGAGCGAAGTCTAACATAACCTTTTATTAGATTGTGGTCGAGGGCCGATAGGTGTTTAGTCGAGCAGGGTCGATCATAACCTTTTATTAGATTACGGTCGAGGGACGATATGTATTTGTTCGAGCGGGGTCGAACATAACCTTTATCAGATCGCGGGCGAGGGCCGGTATATGTTTGTTCGAGCGGAGTCGAACATAACCTTTCATTCGATTGCGACCGAGGGCTGATAGGTGTTTGTTCGAGCGAGGTTGGACATATCCTTTCATTAAATCGCGACCGAGGGACGGTAGGTGTTTGTTCGATCGGGTTCGAATATAACCTTTCATTAGATTGTGGTCGAGGTACGATAGGTGTTTGTTTGATCGTAATCAAACATAACCTTTATTCGAAAAAGGTGTGTTGATAAGCGTAAAGTTTCTTATTACTTTGACATTGTTGCTTTGGTTACATAATTGGAGAAACTTACAAATTCTTGGGTGTTGGTCGGCATTCCAATCCTAGTCCAAGTCTATCTAGTCCCTTCATTGGTTGACCTGGAGAGTATTGAGAGGCCGAGCTATGAAATAGTAATCACGACCCTACCTTCGCATAATTCGACTCGAAGCGTTCTCTTCGTCTCCTCATTAAAAACCTCCCTGAGAAAACCCAAATGTGACAAAACTCAAGTGAGGGAAAAAAGAGTACGACTCGGGGGCGTTTTTTCTCTCAAAAGTTGAAGTATTTGAGGTGGCTGATATTCCAGTTGTTTGGTAGTATCTTTCCTTCCATTATCTCTAGTTGGAATGAACCCTTATTTGTTTTTGCTGTGATTTTGTATGGTCCGTCCCAGTTCGTTCCCAGCTTGCCTTCTCGGTGATCTTTGCTCGCTAGAGTTTTGGCTTTCAGTACGTAGTCCCCGACTTTAAGCGGCCGAACCTTTGCTTTCTTGTTGTAATAACGTTCTGCTTATTGTTTTTGGGTGACCATTCTTGTGTAGGCCATGTCTCTCCGTTCATCTATTTCGTCGAGATATTGCTTTCTGCTCTCGCCGTTACTTGCGCAGCTTTCATGGGAGTACCTTAGTTTGGGTTCTCCGACCTCGACCTGTATTACTGCCTCAGTCCCATAGACCAAAGAGTAGGATGTCTCTCCTGTTCTCGTCTTCGGAGTTGTTCAGTAAGCCCATAATACTTCTAGTAACATTTCCGGCCGTAGTCCGTTAGTGTCTTCGAGCTTTTTTCATGATGTTTAGTATAGACTTATTGGAGGATTTTGTTTGGACGTTACCCACTGGATGGTATGAGGTTGAGAGTATCTTCTTGATATGCCATTTTTCGAAGAAGAAAAACTCGACGATTTTCTTTCCTGTGAATTGGGGTCCGTTGTCACAACCGTATTTCCTTGGGTATGCCGAATCGGCATATGATGTTTCTCCATATAAAGGTGATTACCTCCTGCTCTCGTATTTGGGAGAATGCTCATGCTTCCACCCATTTAGAGAAATAGTTAGTTAAGATCAAAAGGAATCATACGTTACCTCATGCTCGCTGGGGGGGCGCACGATGTCCATTCCCCATTTGATGAACGGCCAAGGGGAGGTGACCGAGTGGAGGTGCTCGCTCGCTTGGTGAATCATTGGGGTGCACTTTTAGCATTGTTTGTATTTCCTCACGAAGTCTGCGATATCCTTTTTCATGGTGGGTCAGTAGTATCCCGCTCGTATGAGGCATCCGACCAGTGCTCGATTGCCAGAGTGAGCTTCGCAATGGCCTTCATGGACTTCTTCGAGGACGCGCTGGATTTGGTTCGGGCCCAAGCACTTCGCTAGAGGGCTGCCATAAGGCCTCTTGTGCGGGTCACTATAGAGGAGGTTGTATTTGGCCTCCTGCATTCTTAGTTGTTTGGCCTCTTTTTTGTTGCCTGAGAGTGTGTCGTCCTACAAATATGCGATAATACGATTACTCCAGTCCCAAGTTAAATTTATAGTTCTTACCTCGACTTGGTCCAGTGATGAGTTGAGTAGGTGGACTACGCTTTTATCTCTGGTCATGATGCTTTTGGTAGCATCGACTAATTTGGCAAGGCCATCTGCTTCGACATTCTATGCTCGTGGGATTTGATCGAGTTGGCATTCGTCAAACTGAGGAAATAGCTTGCAAATTACGATCTGGTATTTTTGTAATCTGTGTTCCTTGATTTGGAAAGTCCTTGTGATTTGATTGACTACGGGTTGGGAGTAACAACGAAGTTTCAACCGTTTCGCCCCATATTTGAGTGCTAGTCTTAATCCTGTAATTACGACCTCACACTCGACCTCATTGTTAGTCATATCCGGGCACCTTATAGACTGGCGAATTACTTTGCCTGTTGGGATCTCGAGTACGAGTCCCATTCCGGACCCCGATGCGTTGGATGCGCCATCTGTGTATAGGACCTAGAGGTCTTGTGTTTGGAGGGAAATTTGGATGGCTTCTTTTTCAACTTCGGGCATTATTTTTGCGCTGAAGTCGGCGAGCACTTGTGACTTTATCGCCATTCGCGGTTGGTATGTGATATCGTGCTCACTAGCCCCATTTGGCCAGCCTTCCCGATAGCTCGGGTTTATGAAAAATGCTACTCAAGGGGAAAGTTATGACGATCGAGATGGGGTGACCTTGGAAATAGGGTCTAAGCTTTCGTGAAGCTACGACCAAGGCCAGAGCTAATTTTTTGAGGTGCGAGTACCTCGTCTCGACGTCGACAAGTGTTTTGCTAATGTAATAGATGGGAGATTGCGTACCTTTATTGTTGCGGATCAAGACTGCGGTTACTTCTACCTCAGATATAGCTAGACAGACGAAGAGCTGCTCCCCAGGTTCGGGTTTCAAAAGCAAGGGCGGTGATGATAGGTATGCCTTCAGTTCTCGCAGAGCCTGGATGCACTCGGAAGTCCATTCGAGGTCGTTGTCTTTCTTAAGTACGCCAACGAATTTATGTCACCTATCTGACGACCGCGAGATGGACCTTGATACGGCGACGATACGACCAGTCAACCTTTGGACTTGTTTTTTGGTAGTTAAGAGTTCTGATATCCCCTTAATGGCTTTGATTTGGTCTGGGTTGACCTCGATCCCTCGTTGCGATACCAGAAAACCCATGAACTTTCCCGAGGCTACCCCGAATGCGCATTTCTCCATGCTCGCCTTCATTCTGTACCGTCTGAATATGTCGAAAGTTTCTTTCAAATAATCGATGTGATATTCTCCCCTTTTGGACTTGACTAGCATGTCGTCTATATATATCTCCATTATTTTGCCGAGCTGGTCTTTGAACATCCTTATTACCAATCTTTTATAAGTAACTCATGCGTTTTTTAGTCCAAACGGCATGACCTTGTAGAGATACGTTCCCCGGTGGGTGATGAACGTGGTTTTTTCTTGATATTCTTCTTCCATGAGGATCTGATTATAGCCTGAGTAGGCATCCAAGAAACTTAGTAGCTCATGCCCGACCATTTCATCTATGAGTTGGTCGATATGAGGTAATGGGAATGAATCCTTCAGATATTCTTTGTTCAAATATGTGAAATCAACGCACACCCACCATTTCCAAATTTTCTTTTTGACCATCACTACGTTGGCGACACACTTGGGGTACTTTGACTCCCTGATGAAACCATTTTCTAACAGTTTTTCCACCTCCTCGCGGACTGTGTTGTTGATAGAGGGGTTGAATTTACGCCT